TCCCTCCTGACAATATGTCCAAAGTATGAGAGATGAAGTTTGGCCATCCTGGCCTCCAAGGAGCACTCTGGCTGCACTTCTTCCAACACAGATCTGTGGGTTCTATGGGCAGCCCATGGTACTTTCAATATTCTCCTCCTACACAACAAATCAAAAGCAACAATTCTTATACAGTCTTCCTTATTTACTGCCCAACTTTCACATGCATATGAGGTTATTGAAAATACCATGGCTTGGGTCAAGTGCACCTTAGTCCTCAAGCTGACATCTTTGCTCTTCAACACTATAAAAAGCTCTTGTGCAGAAGGTTTGCCTAATGCAATATGTCCTTTGATTTCTTGACTGCTGCTTCCATGAGTGTTGATAGCTGATCCAAGAAGAATGAAGTCTTTGACTCCTTCAATCTTTGCTCCATTGATAATAATGTTGTTTTTATTGGTCCAGTGGTGAGGATTTTTGTTTTCTTTACATTGAGATGCAACCCATACCAGAGGCTGTGGTATCTGTCAGTTTGTCGTACTGTGGTGGCTTGTGAGTTGCTGTGATTCTGGAAGGTATGCCACCAGTATTTTAAATACCAGCAGGGTCACCCATGGTGGACAGTTTTCAGATGAGCTTCCAGATGAAGACAGACTAGGAAGAAGGAGTGATGAACTACTTCTGAACATTTAGTCACTGAAAACCTTATGAATAGCAGAGAAACACACAGTTTAGGAGGCTAAAATTCATTGCTGTAAAGTATACTACAACTCATAGCAACACTACAAAACAAGGTAGAACTGCCCCATAGAGTTTCCAAGGCTGTAATCTACCTGCTACATCTTTCTCCTGCAGATCCAGTTGGGGGTTCAAACCACCAAACTTTTGGTTACCATCCAAGCATTAAACCTTTTTACCACCAAAGCTCCTACTTTAGGTAACTACAAGTCCAAATTCAGAGTATCACTATATAGAGAGGCATTCATTCTCTGTTGACTCTGAGGTATGGTCCTTACCTCTTTTCAGTCAAGTATTGTTTGGCTCCTTTGTTATCTTCATGTGGTATTGCACCTACATTCCCCCAACTGTGTTTCTTTTATATCTTAGAAGATAAACTCAAGGTATACTGCTGTATTATTCATAACAAAGAAAACCCTGCCTTGCGCTGGTGATTTTTTCTCCTATCCCTTGAGAAGCAAGAAGCGATCAGATGAAATATCCTCTGAAACATCACAACCACATGCACTATAGAAGAAAACATTGTTCAGTCAGTCTTGTACCATTTGTACACCTAATGGTATGCATAACCATTGTTGCAGCCACTGCATATTGGCTTTCCAAATTAGGGGATTCATCTTTCAGTAATATATCAGATAATATTCTGTTGTCATCTATAGCGTTTCTAGTGGCCAATTATTATAACTCTCCTCTCTGTTGCTGTGGGTTAGTACACTGGACTGCAATGTAGGTTTGAACCACAAGATTGGCAGTTCAAGCTCACCAGTTGCTCCTTGGAAACCCAATACAGGGTCGATGGCACTTAACAACAACAACAACAATGTTGCTATTGCATCCTTCATTATTTTAAAAATGTGATTGTTACAATAAGAGAGTTGTAAATAAAAGCCTTTTTAACTAGATAACATTCAATGGATCTCTCTGCTTTCTCTAATTTCATATATACAGGAGTTTCATTTAAAAGTAATCATAAAAATTTTTTAGGCATCAGAGACAACACTAACTCAGCAAGCAACTGACCCAACTGGAGATAAGGTTTTCTTGGAGACTACATCATAAGTATTTCTTAAAGAATTGTGACACCATTAAAACACCATTAAACCATAATACTAATTTTCCTTTGTCTCTGTGTTAATAGCTCTACTAATCAACCTCTTAATCATATTTCTGATTTGATTATTAATTACTATGTTATGCTTAAGTGCTAAGATAATTTGATTCCCATTATTTTTTTTTTAAATCAACATAAAAACAAACATAATTTTTAAATTTTGTTTATTCGTAGATTAAAATGTAATGCCATACAATTTTAACAATCACTTAAAAAAAGGATTTATATTTGCATAAAACAGAAGCAAAACAGAAAGATATAAAATAAAATGCCATCTTGCTTCAAGTTTTCAAATCAGTACTCAGAGTACTAATAGACATCTATATACATTACAAGTATATTATATAAATATACTATAAGTAATCTCAGAACCACAATAAATATCAAGTAATTTTTTAGGCACATGGCATAGAAATTATGCAAAATCTGCATAATTCTTAAGAGTGCTGAGTGACTTACTTTTAGATTATTTTCCTAGATACATTTTACATAAAATATACAGTCATCACTAACATCATCCCCAGTCACCTCTGGATCTAACCTCTCATCCGAAGCATTAGTGCCTTCTTATTCTTTGATACTATTGCTCTATACAACTATTACATAAGAAAATATTTTGCAGATTTCTTCACTAATTGCCTAAGAAGGTATCAATGCCTAAGAAGGTAACAAAGTAAGTACAGCCTATCCACACAATATAGTCATGAAAATGTGCTGAGAGGCAGAGACTTACAAAACTGCTCATTGTAATACTGGGAGTTACCCTGAAGGTAAACATAAATTAATTGCCAATACTATGAAATTCAGAAATTATTAGAAACTGAGGTAACACCTGTTTGTTTGTTTGTTTGTTTGTTTGTTTGTTTTAGAGATAGAAATACTTGAAAATACACGGAAAGTACTATAAAAATCCTCACAAATATAGACCTCAGTCATTGTAAGCTGTTTGTAATCCTTTCAGCAGAAATTTAAACCAAAGAATCAAAACGATTGCTCTAGTTAAATGTACGTACACTGTTAGGATTAAAGATCACAGCCATGGAACACCTGAGATTGCCCTCTGATAAGTGAAGCCTAATGCTTCTCATAATAGAGTCAATGTTCAGTGATAAGTGAAATAAATAAATGGCTGATTTTTTCCCCCAACTACAAGTCAGATTCTGGCATATCTGGCATATCTGCCATCAAGTACCCGATACCATACCGTCCATTGGGAGCAGTATCCAGAGTTGGTGATCCACTCTGTTTTCGATAAATATTTTTACCAAAATTTGGAGATGACATCTCACTTGGTATCTTTCCATGAATCAGGCTCGTGTCATCGCCTTCAAAGTTAACAGGCTCTTTCAGAACCCTTCCTTTCTTATAGGTAACAGATGCTAAATTACCAGAACTATCATCTATGAGGTTGCAGCAACGGATAATAAAGACCACCGGGACAGGGAATATTGCCAGGACCATCAGCAAGATACAGACAACCATTCCCCATGTTGGATAGCTCAGAAATTCTTCAGATGCCTGTGGGAGCCAAAAAATATTTATCATTTATTTTCTCTTCACATACACAAAAACAATTACATTTTTCTCAGGTTTTTAAGCAAATAATTTAGGCAGGCCTTGTGACCTATTTTGACCAATCAGAATGCAGTGGACACAGCAGTAAGAGACTTCTAAGGCAAGAACATTATCAGTTTCTGTTCTCTTATGATGCTACCCTGAGTCTACGATGCTATGACTAAGTCAAGAATAAGAGATCAGCTGGAGAAACAAGGCAAGCTGTGTCAGTTTTCCCAACTGAACGCAAATACATGAGTTAGCCCAAGTGAGGCCATAACACTGCCCAGCCTACCCATGGAACTGAGATATTAAAAAACCACTGCTGTATCCAGTCACTAAGCTTCACAATACTTTGTTATTAAGCAATGGATATTTTTACATTATGCTTTATTTTATATTTAAAATCTGAAATCTAAGTTTTGAAGCATTGCTGTTTCCAAGAATTTTTATAAGAGATAACAGATTTTTTATGTATAAATTACTATATTGAATTATTGACCATAGATTGTTTAAATACTATGTAATATGCAAGATAATGGAGTCCTTGTGTGGTACTGCAGGATGAGCACTGGACAAATATACAAAGGCTTGCAATTCCAACCTACCAGCCACTCCTTGGAAACCCTATACTGGGTCACTCTGACTCAAAACCAACTTGAGGGCACTTAACAACAGCAAAATAATCATTCTCATAATACATCTTGTCAGCATATTCTTTTGTAGCTAATAAGGCATGAAAACATAAACTGAAATATTCATTGCCCATAAAAGATTTACCTCAATATTAAATAATATTAGGATTAGTAACACACATTTTCACTATGATATATTTATTTCTTGTGGTTATTAAGTACTGTTGAGTTGTTCCCAACTCACGGCAACCCTGTCCAAGGATTCTGAGGAGTGGCTGGTAAGTTTGAACCGTCCAGTGCTTATCCTATAACAACACACCAGAACGCCATATGTTACCTAAGACAGACTATATTAACATAGAAAAAAATATTTCTGAATATTTTACTATGTTTTCTGGAGTCAAAGGCCTAATCATTATTAAATTGCCTATGATAAGATGAACAAAAATATGTTAATGAGGACAGCAGCACTCATCTAATGTTAGTTTGTTGCACTGTGGAGACGTGTATGTTACTGTGGTACTGGAAGCTATGCCACTGTTACTTCAAATATCAGCAGGGCCATTCATGTTGGACAAGGTTCCGCAGATTCCAAGCTAAGAGAGATTAGTAAGAATGACCTGACAATTCACTTCTGAAAGAAATGGCCAGGAAAACCTTCATAATAGCAGTGGAACACTGCCTGTCACAGTGACTGAGGAAAGTGCCTCAAAATCTGACTGAGAAAGAGTAGTCTTCTCGAGGTACAGTCAACATAATGGCGTAAATGGAAAGAACTTCTGGAACCTTCTAGGGTTGAGGAGACACAACTCAGATAAGAAGAAACAGTGGCAAACATCCAATTATGTTCCACTGAAATGTGGAACATATGCAATATGAATCAAGAAAAATGTCAAGGCATAAAAAAATTAAACTGAACACAGAAAAGAATCAATCTCCTAGGAATCTGTGAGCTGAAAGAGACAGGTATGGGTTGTTTTGAATCCAATAAATCATATGGTTTGCTTTGCCAGGAATGATAAATTGAAGAGGAAAGGTGTTGCATTCATTATTAAAAAGAACATTTCAAGATTTATCCTAAAATACAATGTTGTGATAGGATAAAACCCATAAGCCTACAAAGAAGACCAGTTAATATGACTATATTCAAATTTACATACTAAGCTTTAATGTGAACAATAAAGAAATTGAAGATTTTTACCAAATTCTGCAGTAAAATTGATCAAAAATGCATTATTGCTGTTGATTCGAATGTGAGAGTTGAAAACAAAGAAAAATGATCAGAAGTTGGGAAATACAAGTTGGTGATATATCACAGAATTTTACAAGAACAATATCATCTGTGGCACTGTAGGAAAAGCACTGGACTTCTAACTGCAAAGTAAGTGGTTCAAGTCCACCAGCAGATCCTTGGAAACCCTATACAGGGTCACTATGAGTCAGAACCAACTTGACATTGTTCAACAATGACTTATTACAAACAACTTTTTAATGACCTAAACAGAATCTATATCCATTGATCATATAGGATAGAATACACACAAGTTAAGTCGACTATATTTATGGAAAAAGACCAAGAGAAACTCAGTATCATCAGTCAGAACAAAGTCAAAGGACGACTGCAGAAGAGACCATCAATTACTCATATGCAGGTTCAAGTTGAAACTGAATAAAATTGAAACATGTCCAGGAGAGTCAAAATATGACCTTGGTATACCACCTTAATTTAGATATCATCTGAAGAATAGATTTGATGAATTGAATACTAATGACTAAAGGCAACAATCTGTAAAATGACATCAAGTATATCGTATATTAAAAAAAAAAAAAAAAAAGGTCGTTCAAAAGATAAGAAGGAAAAGATCAAAATGGATGTCAGAAAAGACGCTGACACTTTCTCTAGGGCACAGAGAAGCTAAAGCAAAAGGAAAAATGGAGCAAAAGAGCAGAAAAGAAGATTTTAAAAAGCAGCTGGAGAGGACAAAGTAAAGTATTATGACGTGTGAAAGGCCTGAGTTAAAAACCAAACAGGAAGAGCAAGTTCAGCATTTCTCAAACTAAGAGAAATAAAGAAAAAAATTCAAGCCTAAACTTGCAACAATGAAAGGTTCTATGAGTAAAACACTGAAAGACACAAGAAGCATCAAATAAGATGGAAGGAATAGGCAAGAAACATTGTACCAAAGAGAATTGATGTTCAACCATTTCAGGAAGAAGCACATGATCAAAAACCAATTATACTGAAAGAAGTTCAAGCTGCACTGAAGGCACTGGTAAAAAACAGGCTTCAAGAACTGACAGAACACCAACTGAAATGTTTCAGGTAATGGATGCAGTGCTGGAAGTACTCACTCTTCTATGCCACGAAATTTGGAAGACAACTACCTGGCTGGCCAGTGAACTGGAAGAGATTCAAATTTGGTCCATTTCAAAGACAAGTGATCCAACAAAAAGCAAAAGTTATTGAACAATATCATTAATATAACACACAAGTAAAATTTCACTAAACATAATTTTTAAATGGTTATAAAAGTGCATTGACAGGGAACTTCCAGAAATCCAAACTAGATTCCGATAAAGATATGGAAAGAGGGATATTAGATAGATCTTGAAAGAAGGTAGAGGATACCAAAAAAATGTTTACCTGTGTTTTATTCAGTATGTAAAGGTATCTGACTGTGTTGTTCAGAACATATTATGGATAACCTTGCAAAAAATGGGAAATCCAGAACACATAGTTATACTCATGCAGCAGTTGTACCTAGACAAAGAAGAAGTCATACAAACAGAACAAGGGGATACTGCAAAGTTAAAAATCAGGAAAGGTGTGTGTCGGAGTTTTATCTTTCATCATACTTATTCAATGTGTATGCTGAGCAAGTAATTGAGAAGCTGGACTCTATGAGGAAGAACACACCATCAGGATTAAGAGAAGGCTCATTAACAGCATGCAATATGCAGATGACACAACCTTGTTTGCTGAAAGCAGAGAGGGCTTGAAGCACTTAATAATGAAGACAAAAGATTACAGTGTTCAACATAAAAGAAAACCAAGATTCTCACAACCAGATCAATAAGCAACATTATGATGAACACAGAAAAGATTGAAGTTCCCAAGGACGTCATTTTACTTGGATCCACAAACTATGTCCATAGAAACAGCAGTGATAAAATTAAAAAATGTATTGCAATAGGAAAATGTGCTGCATAAAACCTCTTTAAAGATTTAAAAAACAAAAATATCTCTTGAGAAATAAGGTGTGCCTGCCCCAACTCATGATACTTTCAATCACTTCATATGCACATATCACTTCAAAAGCTGAACAATGAATAAGGAAGACCAAAGAAGAATTAATGATTTTGATTGTGGTGTTGGAAAATATTAAATATAACAAAAGAATGGACAAATCTATGTAGGAAGAAGTACTGTCGGAATGTTCCTTAAAAGTGAGGATGCATATTTTGGACACATTTAAAGAGGGACTAGTCCCTGGAGCCATTATGCTTAGTAAAGTAGAGGGTCAGTGAAAAAGCAAAGACTCTCAATGAGATAGACTGACACAGAGACTGCTACAAGGAGCTCCATTATAGGAGTGATTGTGAGGATGGTGCAGTGAGGACTATCTCAATTATTCCAATGGACTAAAATAACCCACAATGTACAAATAAAATCACAAATGTTTAGACACAAAACATAAATCTCAAGATCCTTGAATAAGAGCAGCAATGTTCATTAAATATAAAACACTTTTTAAAAAGATCTGTGAAAAAGACAAAGACAATAATCTCTAAAATGACATTATATATATATATATATATATTTTTAATCAAGCTTTTCAATTATGTGTTTTACCTTTTCTTCAATCCATGCATTATAGCCAGGAGGACTTAATCCCATATTCACAATGCTAGCTATTAGCAATGATAATAGCACTAAAGGAGAAAGATATTTCCACATATAGTAGTAATATTTGTTGGGTACAAAGCCCAACATATCCTTAAGATCATCCATAAATCTAAACAAAAAGAAAATATTTCATTACTGCTCTGGTTCATATTTGCATACTTTACAAAATACATAGAATGGCAATAGTTTGACCAGGGTTTAACCTATCATATGTTACATTGAATTTAAAAAATCATTATGAAATACAAATTATAAGTTAAGATCATTTGCAAAATAAAATGAAATCAGGTAAGTACTGTAATTTTCATATGACAAAATCATTCTTAAAACAATTACTGAAGTTTCCTCTTTCTGTTGACTTTCTAGTCTATGAATTCAACATTTGCAAAACATTAATAACTCCTTGTCTTTTTCTTTACTCTAGAAACAATTCCCTAATCACATCAAATAGTCAAGGAGTATCTTCCAAACTCTCATTACTTTTAACAGTGCATGAACTAAAAGAAGATCAACACATTACAAATCATTGAAACATATATCTCAAGTCTCTTTTAATCTATAGGTACCCTCTCTATCTCATTTTTTCCAAATTTTTGTTGTATTGGCTGGGTTCCTTGTCCTAGTCTTTTATACTTTATGCTTTTCTAATTTAATCCCCACAATATTCCTAAATAAGTTTTTCTGATCCTATTTCCTGTATGTTAATACTGAAATGAATCTTGAGTACATACTGGTTATATAAAGCTATTCTCTACTAGATTCTTCAAAGTGGATTCATTCACAGTAGTTCCCCCTTACCTGCAAAAGATACTTTCCAAGAACCCCAGGAAATGCCTGAAACTGCAGAAAGCACAGAACCCTATGTATACTATGTCTATACAGACATATCTATGATAAAGTTTAATTTATAAATTAAGCATACTAAGAGGGCAACAAAACAATAATAATTGAATAATTATAACAATATGCTGTAATAAAAGTTATGTGAGAGGCAGTGTGGTGAATGATGAAGACATTATGATAAAGCATCAGTCTGTTATTTTCCGATCAAGGTTGACAGTAGGTAACTAGAACTGTGAAATTCTGCAGGAAAGGAGGAACTACAAGACCATTGCATTCAGTATGGGTTCTTGAATCTCAATGAAAAGAAAACAAAAATCCTCACCACTGGACCAATAAATAACATGATGATAAATGGAGAAAAGACTAAAGTTGTCAAATATTTCATTTTGCTTAGATCCAGCAAAATGCTTCATGGAAGCAGCAGTCAAGAAATCAAATGATGTATTGCATTAGGCAAATCTGCTTCACAAGACCTCTTTAAAGAGTTCAAAAACATAGATGAGAGTTTAAGGACTAAGGTGTACTTGACTTTCCTCTTATAAATGTTTTTTTGTTTGTTTGGTTTTGTCTGGACACCAGTTTTTAAATTAATATTTTAGACTATCTCCTGTTGTTAACAATTACATCTTTTTTTCCAAGTATATTTTGTGTCCTTTCAAAAATACAAGTTTTTCTATACTTCAGAAAAAGTTTCTTTGAACTAAAGCTTTCAATATTTATTCTGGCCATTATCTTTATAGATTTATATTATATGTGATTTATCATTGCTTAATTTCTGTTTCTGTCTCTGGTAGCGTAGTGGTTACGAATCGGGCTGCGAACCTTAAGGTCAGCGGTTCGAAACTACCAGCTGCTCCGTGGGAGAAAGATGAGGCTTTCTACTTCCATAAGGATTTACACCCTCGGAAACCCTGTTCGGGGTCTCTATGGGTCGGAACCGACTCGACGGCACTTAACAACAACAACAACAATTTCTGTTTCTATCTAGTATTTTTTCTCCTTCTCTTCCTCTTTTAATTCTCTTTAAACAAGTCATGCTTATTTTCTTGCGTTCCTTTCAAATCAATTTAACTTTCATTTCTGAATTGGTTTTCTTTTATTCACAATTATTTCCTGAGTTTGACTGTCACTCATCTGTCACTTTGCTGTAGTGCAGTGACATATGTAGTGCTGTGATGCCAGAAGCTCTACCACCGGTATTTTAAAAACCAAAAGGTCACCCGTGATGGACAGGTTTCAGCTGACCTTCCAGATTAAGACACACAAGAAAGAAGGAGAGGCAGACTACTTCTGAAGGGTTCGCCACTGCAAACCTTGTGAAAAGCAGCATAAAATTGTCAGATATAATACCATAATATGAGGCCCTCAGGTTGGAAGGCGCTCAAAATACAACTGGGGAAGTGCTGCCTTCTCAAAGTAGAGCTGACCATGAAGACACAAATGGAGTAAATCTTTCATTCACGAATGTGGCACAGCTCCAAATGAGGAGAAACAGCTAAAACCATCCATTCGTAATAGTAATGTGGAATATACAAACTAGGAATCTAGGAAAATGGGAAGTTGTCAAAAATGAAATGGAAAGCATAAAGTTTAATATACTCAACATTAGTGAGCTGGTATGGTAATTTTGGATATGATAATCATATGGTTTATTATGTCAGGAATCAAATTTTAGAGGAATGGCATCATGTTCAAAATCAAAAGAACATATCAAGAACAATCATGAGGTACAATGCTGTCTGTTGTAAGATAATATCCAAGCACCTACAAGGGAGACCAGTTAACACCACTATCATTCAAATTTACACACCAATCACTTAAGACAGTCATGATTAAGTTGAAGATTTCTACCAACTTCTTCAGTATGAAATTGATCAAACAAGCAATCAAGATGCAATGATAATTATCAGTAATTGTAATGCAAAGGTTGGAAACAAAGAGGAAGGATCATAGCTTGGTGATATAAATGATGCTGGAGATCACATGATAGAATTTTGCAAGATCAATGACTTATTCATCATAAGTACCCTTTTAAACAACATAAAATGCAACTAATATGCCTGGACCACACGAGATGCAATACATAGGAATGAACTGATTACATCTGTGGGAAGAGGCATGGACTAGGCTTAATATCATCAGCTCAAAAACAAGGCCAGGAGCAGACTGTGGTGGGATAGACCATTAGTTACTCATATGCAAGTTCATCATGAAGCTGAAAAAAATCAAACAGATCCATGAGAGCCAAGATATGACCTTGAACATATCCCACCTAAATTTAGTGGTCATTTCAAGACAAATTTGATGCATTAGACACTAATGACCAAAGACCAGAAGAGTTGTGGGATGAAATTTTAAAATATCAAACAGGAAGAAAGCAAACCCTCATAAATAAGACAAGAAAGAAAGAAGAGCAAAATGGATGTCAGAAGAGACTCTGAAATGGGCTCTCCAGCATAGAGGTGATAAAGCAAATGGAAGAAATGAGGAGGTAAAAGAGCAGATCAGAAAATGTCAAAGGGCAACGCAAGAAGTCAGTCTAGTATTATAATGAAATGTGTTAAAACCTAACATAAGAAAACCAATAGAGAAGAACATGCTCTGTGTTTCTCAAGTTGAAAGAACTAAAGAAAAAAATTCAAGCTACAGCTTGCATTAATGAAGGATTCTTGGGGCAAATATTGAATAATCCAGAAAGCATCAAAAGACAATGAAAGGAATGCACAAAAGTAACTGTACCAAATAGAAATAGTCAATTTATGATCAAGAAACAATAGGAAAAAAGGAAACCAAGTTGTATTGAAGGTTTTAGCAAAGAACAAGACTCCAGGAGTTTGGACTACAAATTGACATCATTCAGCAAGCTGACCCAGCACTGGAGGCACTCACTCATCTATGCCAAGAAATTTGGAAGATAACTACCTGGTCAACTGATTGGAAGAGATACACATGTGTACCCATTCCAAAGAATGAGGAAATAATCTAAATATCTTACGTTTATAGGGGAGCTAACAGCACCAGTGGAGTCCTGGTGTGACGCTATGGGTTAATGAGCCAGACTGCAAAGCCATTTGAACTGCAAGGTCGGAGGGTCAAGCTCACCAGCTACTCCTTGGAAACCCGATACAGGATCGCTATGGGTCAGAACTGACTCAATGGCACTTCACAACAACAACAACAGCACTCATAGGTTATGCTCACCATGGAATGGTGAATCATTCAAAATCAAAAGGGCATTATTTTCCTAATGACAAAGTTGAGAGGGGTTAGGAAGGTAGGTGGGATGCAAATAGGAATCACAGGGAGGAAACAGGATATCCCTTGTCGCATGGAGGAAGAATGTAATAATTGAGATGAAACAAAGTGTATGATTTATTGAATGTAAACCTTATGATCTTGTCTATAAAACTTCATTCAAATTGCAATAAAAAGTTAAAACACATATATCTTTAATATTACATTCAAGAAAAATTTTGCTGAAGATCATTCAAAAACCAAGAACTATAAGAAATTCAAGCTGGATTCAGACAAGAATGTAGAATAAGGGATATAACTGCTAATGTCAGATGGATCTTGACTGAAAGCATAGAATACCAGAAAGATGCTTATCTGTGCTTTAATGCCTATGCAAAGACTTTTGAGTGAGTGGTTCATAACAAGCTACTGACAACACTGTAAAGAATGTGTATTTCAGAATGCTTAACTGTGCTCATGAGGCAGTCCTTCAAATAGGCCAAGGGGATACGAAATGGCTTAAAATCTGGTAAGGTATGCACAGAGTCATATTCTTATTCAATCTGTATGCTAAGCAATTAATATGAGAAGCTGGGTTACATGAAGAAAAATGTAGCATCAGGATTGGAGGAAGACTCATTAACAACTTGCGATACAAATGATACAGCTTTACTTGCTGAAAGATAAGGACATAAAATGCTTAGTGATGAAGATCAAAGAACGGAGCCTTCAGCATGGGTTGAACTTCAATGTAAAGAAAACAAAATGATCAACAGTGGACCAATAAATATCATCATGCAGAAAAGTTTGAAGTTGTCAAATATTTCAGTTTGCTCAGTCTACAATCAGTGCTCATGGAAGCAGCAGTCAAGAAATCAAATGACATATTGTATTAGGCAAATCTGATGCACACAACTTCTTTTCAAGAGCAAAGATGCTAATTTGAGAATTAGGATGCTCCTGTATGTATGTGAAAGTTGAATAATGAATAAGAAGTCTGTAGAAGAATTGCTGCTTTTGAGTTATGGTATTAGAGAAGAATATTAGAGGTACCATGAAATGCCAGAAGAACAAACAAATCTGTGTTGGAAGAAGTATAGCCAAAATGTTCCATAGAAGTCATGATGGCAAGACTTTGTCTCTCATACTTCGAACACATTATCAGGAGGAACCAGTTCCTGGAGAAGGACATCATGCTTAATAAAGTGGAAGCTCTGAGAAAAAGAGGAAATCACCAAATGAGATGGATTTGCACAGGTACAGAAGCAGTGGGTTCAGCTTAACAATTGTGAGAATGGTGCAGGCCTGGACAGCGTTTTATTCTGTTGTGTACAGGGTCTCTATGAGTTGGAACAAACTCGATGGCACCTAACGACAACAACAATAACCACTTCTCAATGAAGTATCACTACAGAATACATCATTTCCAAAACTTTTCTATTATATAAGGTATTATGACACAAAAATCCTCCTCATAAAACTGTTTAGCAAAGTAATTCAGGATCAAAGGATTTAGAGTTAACCAGAATGGGATGAATCTCAGGTCTGCCACTGTCCTGGTGTGTGATGAACAAGTCACATGCTCTCTATGCCTGAATTTCCTAACTCGTGAAAAGCAGATAATAATAGTATCTCAGAAGAATTTAAAAAGGTTCTAGCCACATAACCAACACTCACTATGGGAGTTATTATTTGATAGCTATCTACCAAAATTAAATCAAAACTCCAGAATCCCAGATTATACTACAGTCTATACAATTCTGGTGTGGTGCAGTAGGTTAATGCACTAGACTGCAAAGCTGTTTGAACTGCAAGGTCAGTGGCTCAAGCTCACCAGCTGCTTCTCCTCAGAAACCCTATACAGGGTTGCTATGGGCCGGCACTGACTCGACGGCACTACGGCACACCACCACCACAACAAATACAATTCTATCTAATTACCAAATAAGGGAATTGACTTTATTTTTAAGTGAAGAAAAGCCTAAAAAAGATTCAAGAATTTTCCCTCTATTCACTTTTTTTCTTGTTTCAAGTGAAGTAATATTCTTTTCAAAATATGAAAAAATTACATCAAGGCAAATGTACTTACTTATCTATGCCATAAACATAGGATACAGCAATATTCTCCAAACTGACGACAATTAGCAGAGGCAGGGTAGCAGAATAATCATCAAACATTGTAACGAAGTAATTCCCAGAGCGCTGCACAAATATCAGTCCAATACAAAATGCCAGGAGACAACAGATAACTGGACAAAAGGAAGAAATTAGAAAATAAACCTCTATTGAAAGCCTTTTAAAAACTTAATTATGAATTACTATAGTCTAACAATAGTTTTGCTTTAACTTTTATAACTTCTTAATTATATAATCTTTCCTGTTACTGCAGAATATAACAGATTGGGAATTCCGTTACCTGTGTTCAACCCTGACTTTAATATGAATTCACTGTAAGACAGTATGGCAATTCATCTCTCTGAGACTGTGGAAGCTTATATAACAAGTGGAAATAATAAATGATGCAAGAATAGATAAATTTTAAAAGCATAAGTTCCCATAAACTATTCTTATTATTAGCAAAGAAACATTTTGGGCAAAAATGTTCAAAGGTCTTTTCTAACTTTAATGAGATTTTATATTCTTGGAATACATATTGATGCTTTGATTGCACAGGTGAATACTGTGACTTCTAATAATATTGTGATAAGAAATCTATTTTACATCTTTTTGAAACAAGATTTTTTTTAAAGTGAAAATAGAAATATCTAATCAGATCTAACCCACATCTAAATTTTTTAACTCTGCCTCATTAGTTCATTTGTACTCTTATTATGGCACAGTGGAACAATCTTATTATCCAGGTAATAACCAAGAAGAACCATATAAAAGGAATTCCCCAATAGCATATAAGAAATAGATACAGACACTTCAGGCAAGGAACCATTAATAAAAAAAACGTATAGAGATCTCTTTGCAATATAAACAATATGTCTGTATTTACACAATATTCTCTCCTGTTCAGTAAAGAAGCTCTCAAAATGATAGATTATTGCGTTCTATTTATTAACTACCTTTGAGCAGAGATGGGTATACCTGAAAGAACAGCAGGTGATGGAAAAGAGAATACAGAGATTCATGGGTTCAGGTATATGATGATGCCCTAGCAATCACAATAAATCTAAGTTAAATTTAGTCATTATCTCCATTATATACATACAGCATTATAACCATATAGTGTAGAAAAAGAAAAGTAACATTTACTTACAGCCTACTACCGCAACATTTAAATGCTTGGTATGGTGGTTAGTGGTGGTTATGTGCCATAGAGTCGGTTCTGACTCATAGCGACCCTGTATGATTTCCAAGGCTGTAAATCTTTATGGGAGCAGAAAGCCTCTTCTTTCTCCCATGGAACAGCTGGGAGTTTTGAACTGCTGACCTTAAGGTTCGCAGCCTGATTCATAACCACTATGCTACCAGAGCTTGTATAGTATACAATAAATTTTAGTTATCACACTTAATTCTTGTAATATTTAAAGACTAAAAAAAGTACTCTGAAAAATCATGCACAAAATCTCAAACTGAAGTGGCTGAGCAGGGATTTAAGTGTGGCACTGAGAGATAATGCATTGGACTGCAAGGTCCATTTGAATCACAAGGTAGGCAGTTCAAACACACCAGCCGCACCTCAGAAACCCTACACAGGGTCACTGAATTAGAACCGATTAGAAGTCACTTAACAACAGCAACATTGTCTGACTCCGATATCACTTTCATTCTCTCCTCATTTCCTATGTTGCTGTTGTTGTTTGTTACGTGCAGTCAAGTTGTTTCCAACACATAGCGACCCTATGGGTTCCCAAGGAATCACTGAGCTTGAATAACTATCATTGCGGCTCAAATCGACTCCATTATACTATACATGTTGTTGTCGTTAAGTGCCATCGAGTTCATCCCAACACATAATGATTCTTTATAGAATTTCTGAAGAGCAGCTGGTAAGTTTGAATCACCGACCTTATGGTTCAAGCTGACCTTGTGGTCTAGCACATTAACCCATAGCACCACACTAGGATTCCATATTATATATTTTGTTGTTGTTAAGTGCCATCGAGTCAATTCCAACACACTGTGACACTGTATATAGTTTCCCAGTATGCAGCAAATATAAACACAGTATATTCTAGGTGACATATATAATATCAGTAGAAACCTGAGAGAAAATTATAAATAACTACTTAAATTAGCCCTATGAAGCTGTCTAAGGCGCTCTGGTAGCGTAGTGGTTATGAATCGAACTGTGAACCTCAGGGTCAGCAGTTTGAAACTACCAGCTGTTCTGTGGGAGAAAGATGAGGCTTTCTGCTCCCGTAAAGATTTACAGCCTTGGAAACCTTGTGCAGGGTCACTATGGGTCAGAACTGACTCCATGGCACTTAACAACAAAAACAATAACAAGCTGTCTTGGAAAGAGATGATGGAAGATGTCCAAATCATCAGCCAAAAACAAGGCTGGGACAGATTGGGGAACAGATCATCAATTGCTTATATGCAAATTAAACTGAAGCTGAAGAAAATTAAAACAAGTCCACGAGAGCCAAAATATGACATTGAATATGTCTCACCTGAATTTATAGATCATCTGAAGAACAGATTTAATACATGAAACACTAAAGATCAAAGACCAAAAGAATTGTGGGATGACATCAAGAACATATAGAAAGAAAGCAAAAAGTCATTAAGAAGACAAGAAAGAAGGAAAAGATCAAAATGGAAGTCAAAAGAGATACTAAAGTTTGCTCTCCAATGTAGAGATGATAAAGTAAATGGAAGAAATGATGAGGTACAAGAGCTGAACAAAAAAATTTCAAAGATCAGCTCAGGAAGACAAACTCAAATATTACAACAAACTGTGCAAAGATCCAGAGTCAAAAATCCAAAAGGGAAAAACACACTCAGCATTTCTCAAGCTGGGGGAACTGAAGAAAAAAAACCAAGCCTTGACATTTGTTATTGAAACATCCTTTAGGCAAATTATTGAATGTTGCAGAAAGCATCAAAAGAAGATGGAAGAACACACAGAGTCACAGTACCAAAACGAAATGGTTGATGTTCAACCATTTCAAGAGGTAGCATATGACCAAGAGCCAATGATACTGAAAGAAGTCCAAGGTGCATTGAAAGAACTGGCAAAGAACGAGGCACCAGGTATTGATGGAGTAAAAATTGAAATCTTTCAAGAAAGTGATGCAGCACTGGAGGTACTCACTCATCTCTGCCATGAAATTTGTAAGACAACTATCTGGCCGACTGATTGGAAGAGATCTGTATTTGTGCCCATTCCAAAGAGAGGTAACCCAATGGAATGAGGAAATCATTGGACAGTATCTTTGATATCCCATGCGAGTAAAGTTTTACTGAAAGTAATACAGAAATGGCTGCAAGCATACATGGACAGAGAGATTCTACAGGTTCAAGCCAGATTCAGGAGAGGACGGGGAACAAGGGATATCATTGCTGATGTCTGATGGATCTTGGCT